CCAAGAGTTCGATCACAAAGCACCTGGTGGATACTGGCCATGCGGTTGACTCAAGGACCAACAGCTCATGCTTTATTTACCTATCCCGTTTTAGCCTTCTAGATCGTTGCTTAATTGGACAGTTTATTTTTTATCTAATTAAAAGGCCATGATCATATGCATTTCTTTGCTTCGTTATAGTTTACATGGCACAAGGATATTTCGATCGCTGCCGACTAAGACAAGGTCAAAAAACATCCCACAATGTGGAGCCAGCAGTGTATAGAACATGCCTATGTCTAGAGTAAGGCCGAAATGAGTTGGATACTAACGTATCGCTGAATGTTAAAGTTTCAAGTGTAGATGTTGAGCGCTATGTAAAAACATCCAGATACTCGTGTTTTTCGTTGGAGGACAGCCAGACGTCGGAGGAACAAACATAAGTAGAGCGGGGAGACTAATATTACAAAATGAGAAAATCGTTTATATAGAAATAATGTCCCAAGCTTGGGCAGCCCGTTCTCAAGTAGATGATATATTTCATGTAGTAACGGCAATTTATGTAAATACAGCCACTGAATATGATTTTACTTTGGCTTTTATTATCGATAAAATTACTGCGAGGAGTATAACTGTGCGGAGGTAAATAAGCTCAAATAATCTTTCGGTTTGACCACAAACTGTGTATTCCAAAATCGGAGTTTTTTCTCAACCTACCAGTAGCTGCCAGTGCTGAAGAGACGGCCACTTGTTTTCAACCACTGGCACTCTCAAACCGTAGTGTGTCACGTGAATGTGAACGCCGAGATCAATTGCAATCCAGGGGTAAGTTGGTGGCGCCAATTTTGCTTCCGCTTCGTTGTTGGCGCTTATGCAAACGGATGACAGTGACGGTGGCCTTGGAGGTGTCTTCGGCGCCTCTGGAGTCTCATCCCTATCGTCAATGTCCGAGAGGAGGAGACGGTTAAGTTGAGACGCTCGTCGATTAATTGTGGCGTCAGAGGTACTGATGCGTATGAGGCCCTTCAGTTGGATGGGATTGATGCGCTTTCCGGGCTCCCGACCACCGTTTGTGCTCAGCCACTGAAAGATGCCGCCACGGTAGACCTTAGCCTCCGGACCGAGGTCAGGCAGCTCTTCCGAGTCTGGAGCGTTGCAAACCTGAGAGCGCAAGTTTCTGACTGTTAAGGGGAAGAAGAGCAGGGCGTGCGTCTACCAAGTAACCAATAGAAGTCACCTCAGGATCTTGGATCTTACTTTAAACGTTAAGGAGCTTATCGTCGTTAGTAGTTCTCAAAGGAACAGTCAAGGTCACCAGTGTCAAGGCAATAATTGTAATCCGTATCAGTGGGGAAAAATCACTATGGGTAGGTAAATGTCAAGGTAAAGAAAGGAAAAAAAAAGATTAAATACGAAGAAATTTGTTTAAATATACTAAGTTTACGAAACAGCGCATAGTTAAAAAAAACTACTGGACTTGGTGAAAGCTTAAATGTCTATTGAATTTCTAGCCCTTCACCTATCTACCCCAAAACTAACCTCAGAAGCTTAAGAGTAATACGTACCGTAACCTGGTAAACTGACAGAAAGCTAAAATGTCTAGCGGATCGCCAACCCTATGCCTAAAGTTGGCGCTAATTCGAAAACAAATCTTTAGCTTTAAAACTAATTCCAAGTCCAACTGCAGAAACTGAACAGTAGTATATACAGTAATCTAAGGTCCACTGATTGGATTCTAACAGCAGGATTACCTCTACCTAAATCATATATGTAAATAGCCAAGTTCATGATAATAATAACAATAATTAATGATTGCACCGATTATATCTTTACTCTTAAAATACCCGAACGAGAGTTAGTGCACTCAATTTTGTTATCACAACTCATATGACCATTATAAAAGGATATTAGGCAGTATAAATAACGTAGCTTCCGAAACCCCTAATGTCCTAATGAGAAATAAATCTTGTGATTCTTTTAAACGAGTATTTTATGTTTTATTTATGTTGCGTGGTCACTTAAATCGTATCGACTAGGATTTGAAATGATGCATGCTTGACTGGCCACATTTAATAGATTGCTTTAGGAACCAGAATATTGCGAAACGGAGATCTTATATTTTGGTACGACTGGTGATGAGACGCTCCACATAAGAAATGCGAGGCAAAACGGTACACCTGTGCCATATTTTGCACTCTTGATAGATTGGGAGAGACTAAAACCAATAAAGGGTTAAGCTATCCAATGGACGTAAAACGCTGCCTGTGGTTTTTGACCAGGCGAGATGCAACTATCGAAGCAGACATTTACCCGCTGTAATCAGTATCGGTGGGGGCAAAATCACAATCCGTAGGTACATTTAGAAGTACAAAAGGAAAAAAAAAACTATTAAATATGAAGACGTTTGCTTGAATACGCCAAGTTTACGAAACAGCATGCAGTTCAAAAATGGTGCAACATTGAAGGCTTTAATGTCCAGCGAACGCCTAGTCCTTCGCCTAAGTTTAATCTTTACCCTATAGCTAACTCCAACTCCAACCTAAGAAGCTTACTAGTAATACGTACAGTAACCTGGTAAAGTAATAGAAAATAAAAGTGTCTAGCGAATCGTCGAACCTAAGCTTAAAGCTGGTCCTAACTCGAAAACTAACCGTAGCTTTAAAACTAATTCCACCGCCAACAGTAATATATACAGTAATCTGAGGCCGACTGATCGGATTCTACAATCAGAATCACCACTACCTAAATCACATAAGTAGTCAAGTTTATAATAATAATCCGTGGTTACACTGATTAGATATATACTCTTAAAATACCTGGACGAGCGTCAGTGCACTCGATTTTGACTTTACGATTCGTACGCAAATCGTTAAAGGATGGTAGGCAGTAAAAACAACGCAGCTTTCGAACCTGCTAATGTTCCAGTGGGAAATTCATTGTAGGATTCTTTTAAAAGAGTATTTGTATCTTTTATTTACTGTCGCGAGGTCAGTTTACTTGTATCGACTAGGATTGTGAGATGATGCATAACCGTCTAATAGTTTGCTTTAGGAAACAGACTATCCCGATAGGGGAGTCTTGTATTTCAGTAGCACAGGTTGCTTGTAGCTTTGCAACCGCAAAAATGAGACTCTCCACATAGGAGATGCGAGGCAATGCGGAACGCATAGATCATGCGGTGCTTTCCTGATAGGTTGGGATACGCCATAGTCAGTAAAGGGTTAAGCTATCCACTGAACGTAGAACACTGCCTGCAGTTTTTGACCAAACGAGATGCAACTATCGAAGCAGACATCTGGCCAGTGGTGAATGTATGCATTTTGGAGTGTAAAGTAAAATAGAAGAGTCAAAAGAAGAAATATAAATGTAAACATTACGTTATATGTATTGTAAACCACTATTTGCTTGTGTAAATACGGCAGTATTCTGTACACATAAGTCTGAAAAGTGGATAATTTCAGCCTGCCTATCCTCTTTTACGAGGAATAACGGTGGGTAAAACCTTTGTATGGTGAAAATATAGCAGAAGCAAAGTAATGGGATAAATTAATAATTTAAATTTAAAACACTCTGATCACATCGGCCAAATTTGCATAAATTCAGTTCACCGCATTTGCCATCATTCTCAAAAGGCTTATGCAAAGTAGTATGCAATATCACAGCATGAAATAGTATCTTAATTTCACGCGTGTTCATATGTAAGCGGTACAAAGAAGTACGATTAAACAACATTGCGTGTTGTGTATAGAAACCCTATACGAAAAATATACAAATTTTCTACCCAAACTATAGTAAACACGGTAGTTACGTAAAATAAACAATAGGTGAATGCCTGAGAAGGTGCTTACTAAAAAGAGACATCAGAGGAGAAGCGGAGCAAGGCAACTGACCTTATTATTTGCCGGTAACACAAATATCTTATGGCCTGGCTGTCGGAGATCGTAGACGAATCCCATGTCCGGTAGGGCGTCAAGGTACCTTATAATTAAACGCAGAAATAAATAATGTATTGGCCTGACGAGAATTTATCGAAAGTATACGTACGCTTGCCAAATACCTTTCTGAATGTGACAATATTTAATGCTAAATAATACTCAAAAAATAATACAAAATATAGGTGACCGCACAGTCGACCTCTGCGTGCCGGAAGCAGACATAACACAGACGTTATCGGCAATGAATTGGGTTAATTTGGACAGGATATCAGCGGCCTCTCTCGCCTCCCCCTACGCACTCACTTCCTCTGACATCGTATCTTATTGAGACCACTTGAAGCTTGGAATTTAACGACAGGCTTCAGACCACTAGGAATGAAAATACGACTTACCACGGCACTTCGTTCATTCGGGTTACCAACCACTGCTGTATCTGGCCAAAAGTGGCCAAGGGTGCAGCATACAGACGATAACTGGAGAGATCCACTTTTCGACAGAAAGGACGGTGCTTATCGGTCTGTTCCGTTTTGTCACCAGCGAGAGTAGAAAGCCGAGGCTGTAGTGGCACTGACTGCTGAAGGAGTTGCTCATGCATTCCCGTAAAGTGAAGAGCGGTCACCGGATAACGTTCAATCTATGAATGGAAGAAAACTTATCTCTGCAAAATGAAATCTCATGGACGAAAACATTGATCCTTTAGGGAAAAGGAATCAATAAGAATTGCTATAGGCAGACAAGACGGCATCGTTTTGAGTTAACCGTTTTCGCAACACTCTCATTTGTCTGACGACGGGCTGGGGAAACAGACTCGAAAATTCACACAATAAACCTTATTCTTTCCTAAAGGACTTTATCATTTACGAAATATATTGCTTGAGATACCAATATTTCAAAACATTAAAAACCGTCTTGTCGGTCCGCCTAAATATATATCCCCCCACCCAACTCTCATACAGAATTTGTGGTTAAACATTTAATTCTTGGTGAGCGAGTGTAGATGAATATTTAATTGCGTTGGAAGTGATCAAAAAATATTAAATTAAAGAAAATTATATTTGTTTAAATGTACTAAATAGAATCAACTCCATAAACATAAACTCCTGTTGCTCAGGCAAATGATGCCTATTGATGGAATTTTAACCTTATATTGTCGGAATGAAAGGACTACTCGGCGAAAATTGTCAATTGGCAGACATGGAAAAGAGGTGGATTCCTTGCTCTGCCTAGCCTGTGCCTCGGTTATTTTGAACTGAATTATGCATGATCCTCCGAGTTTAACGGTCAGGTCCTTATGTATTTTCTCCCTTTGTCTGCTCTGATAATACTAAAATTGTGACAACTTGGTTATTTGGTCAGTAAGTGCCTGTAAAAAAGGGAAACGAAGCCAGCTAACTTAGTGGGTCTCAGATCTAAAAAACGACTATTGACGACGTTTTTCTTCTCACGATTTGTCAGTCTGGAATGTTTCGATCATTTGAGATCACGAAGGCTGCGCCGGACTGTAAGCTGGCAAAGTCTTTTCGTCAGCGATCCATAGATGAAGGTTGGTATTTACAATAAGCACTTACTATCAAACTACAGTACGTCGAAGTTCCACCTACCCAACTATTTCCTTCGTAATTTCAACCAATAGGAGTTGTTCTAATGTTCCTATTGGTCTATAGGGGTCCTTTCCTGACCAAAAGGGGATTCGGTTGGTCGATTTTATTCTTTCCTTATGCTATTCGCATATATTTTTAGTTCAGTAAAACAACTATAAGCAGCTATAATCTATTTTCTACTGTGCCCTTACCATACATTAAACAAGCATTACCTACGCCTTAATCAACCATTAAACCTTTAACCACGATTTCCGTAAAAAATTGGGCAGGCAGTCTTTTGCAACTTGATGGCCCCTCGATGGATCGCTACCGTATTTTCGTTCATTTAGATCCTCAACTTCAAACATACGTAATACTTAACGGAGTTTTCGTAAAAAGCTAGCTATTGTGTGGTAGTATATTTTTTTCAGCGGCAACTGGGACGTACATTGAAAGCATTTCCTAACAGCTGACACTTCAAAGGAATGAAGTAGAAATCAAATTGATACAATTAACACGTCGAAAACTTATTCCCAACAACCAGTAAACTAAGTAGGATGAAAGCACGCATTCTTAATTGTCTCTTAACTCTATGGCTGCGGTGTTATTAACTCAAGAAAACAACATTTGTGAGCAATTGTTAGCAAGAGAAAGATAATAGGTAAACGTTAAATTGCTCACTGTTGTTAGATAAATATATTTTAATAACTATTATATGCATTTTGGTATATGTGCTTATGCTTATTAATTTCACAGGAACTTAAGCGTCCTGTGGTTACCTCTATTTTTTATTAGTTTTCGCTTTGTTTACTTAAAGATAATTAGTTAGTATAGTATTTACTTTATTATTCTAATTTTAGTTAAGGTTTTACTTTAGTTAGTTTTGCTTGGTTTATTTATTTAGTTTTTTTCAGCGAAATGCAGTTGCTCTTCTGCTTATCGTACTACAGTATCTGTCCAAATGTATTTGAAGTTATTTTGGGTCTAAAAATGGGGAAAAGGCCCATGTTTTATCATTTTACTATAATCTCTCAAATTCGACATACAATCGATATGCTCATATTACTGCTATTTCGATCGGTCCTGTAAGACCGAATCCAGGGACTAGCGGAATCTAAGATTGGCGACCAAATTTACATTTGCCAGCTGATGCAATCGAACTTGAGCGGCATAATAAAAAGTAAGCGAAGTTAACTGGGTGACTTACCATCTCAAGGGTTTTTACGACTTTGCGGATAAGAATGGGCAGTGAACAACCAAACAGGGTTTTCAGAAGAAACAGCGCAGGCGGAAGCTTCTCGCCTATTTTTCTGCCGTCGTAGAACTTTACGTCGAACTGAGAATCTTCTGACAGTATCTACAACATACAAATAGAAGACGTTACATAATTGTCATACCATAGTTCAGTAATGTAATTAAGGGCCTACTAAAATGTTGGGACTTTTCCATGCCAAACGTGTACATTTAAGTTAAATGGGAAAACGGTGAAAACGTTTTGTCCTACTCCAAGGTCAAGCTCTCGCCCCCAAGACTTCAGATACCTTATCAACTCCACAAATGTGGGTCCAGTTTCCTCTAGGAAGTGATTTAACTCTTTATGCTAAACCAATCGTTTCTCACAGTTTAAAACTCCTGAAAAAGAAGGTTTAAGAGTTGGCCGAATACTGTCCGAGGGGTTCTGCCGACCGCCAGAAGTGGACTGGAAATTTCGGGCGCATGCTTGGTTCGCACATACACGAACATATATTGGCTGCTCGACGGGGTGACGTATTATCGCAAGTGGCTGCCCACACCTATGAAACGGGCTACGACGGGTTTCGTAGCCGCGAGGATAATTGCCCACGCCGGCAACAGGACAGGACGAGAACTAATCGAAGCCTGGACATTGAATGACAAATCAGTCAACCGATTTATTGGGCTGGCGCCCGCATATATTGCCCTGCATGGGCATACCTCGTGGGAAGAAGAGGATGGACTCCCGCAAGAGTCCGAAAGCTCAGACGAATAATTATCATTCCGGTGAGCAACACGCCTCTTTCTTTACCTATACGCATAACTGGGACGCAAACATTTGCCTCAATTCGTGTGTCGGATTTCGTTGGCCGTCGTAGGTCTATCCTCTACAAATATCTGGACAGGAGGAACTGCAATTTGTGCCCAAGTAGCCTGCTTAGCGAGTCATTCGCCAGTCGAGTCAGCAAACCACGTCCTATTAGGTGTTGGGGCGCTATAACGAAGTTTCGAGAGAAGACTGAATGCCCTCTTCCCTTTTAAACGTAAGCCACGTGGTTCAAAGTAATTATTATTACGTTAATCTGGTATAAGAAGCCTTTGAAGTACTTATAAGGAGCAGGCAAAACTGGAAAATACAGGAAAAATACAAAATTTGCTGAGCTCTACACTCAACTGCTCACGCCTAGTAACGTTGGAAAAATGAGCATAAAATACAATGTCGGAATGCAACGTTTTTAACAGGTTGCCAAGTGTATGCCAGAACAGGTTTATTACAATTTCAATATAAACACTAGACGACCTAAACCGTGGGAAAGGCCAAAATCTGCAAATGGTTGATAAGAATTCACGAACGGGCATTAATGCATGCACAAAAATAAACAAACTTAAGCGAATTTAAAGCTTAGATTAAATATAAAGGTACTACAAATTTGTTTACAAAAATTAACTTTTTCAAAAGGCTTAAATGTCCGAAAACGCGAAAACGCGCTATAACTCTGACTAATAAATATTATCATCCAACTAAACTATAATGTAACAAGTTGGAACATCGACCGGTTTTCATAAGGCATATAACACTTTTTAAAGTACGTTATTAGCTATTACATCAGACCAAGGATGGATAGGATGAACTTTTGCTTGCCTTAAGACAGGCAGAAAGGGCAAGAACGATTCCGGAGGTGAGCATTTCGTAGGGTGTTGCGGCGGCAATAAGGCCCTGCTTCTCGGAATCCGAGACACCGGCAAGGAAGGCTGTGTCCAGCCGCCTCAAAATGCCTTCGAGCTGCGTGCTGTCGCCGATTAGCTCAAGCTCGTGAACCACTGCTTGACAGAGAGCGGCTGCACGAAGAAGGCAGGTGTAGCTGGGACTGATGCGAGGCAAAGATTCCTGCGGATTCTCCTTCTCAAGCAGCCGCAGAATCTGGGATCCGCTGGCCACCATGCATTCCCTCAATTTGCGCAGGTGATACCTTCTGTGGCTAAGAAAAAAATTTCCTTTGAGTCATTCAAAAAGGCCACAAGTAGGCAGCATTATTCCCTTTTCAGAAAGTAAACCTACCAGTTTCTCAGTTCTTGGCGTTGTTGGAGACTGAGCGGCGCAAGAACAGGATGTATCCTAAAAGATAAAACGATTTACTGTTAGCGGGTTTGGCAGATCTGCTCAATGCAGTTGACCTAATTGTGAAAAATCCACGGCTTCGGTGGGATTCAAACCCCCACAGCAGGGAAGGATTTTGCGCTACCAAAGCTCTGCCATTGAGCTAAGAGGCTCACCGGGCGTCGCGAATTTAACCACCCTTGTATCTATATTATCCGCCCAACTTACTGCTCGCTCCACCATAACGGAGCAGCAAGTTGACTGTGCAGGTAGGATTTCTACCAGAATGACTACTCGAATCGTTTAATTGTTAGAAGGGCTTGATAGATTTGCTTAATTCAGTTGACCCAACGACTCATGCACAAGACAAACAAGCCGCATGCTTTGAAACAGAGTGATTCAGGTATGGAATTTTCTTCCTGTGGACATCGTCAGGTCCCCATCGATGGTGAATTTGAAGAGGACGTGACAAAAGTAGCTTATGTAGCCCCACTCATATACTTTTAGTCCCAGCATTTTGTCCTACAAAAACGGTGGTTATAAAGTTTTGTGGGTTGGGGAAATAGGATAGGCAGAGAAGGAAATTTATAGAAATAAGCGCAAGGT